CTATAGGTTATAGGATGAGGTTGATTGAGAGTCGACAATCTGATGGACGAACCCATAATCTTCCGACTGCAAATGAAGTGGCTGCTTTGATACCTGGAGATTTCGTTTTAAATATGGAACCTCGAGATATTGTTCTAGAGAGTACAACTGGAAAGTTGCAAAGGATAAGTGAATTATATCCGGCTTATCTGCCTCTGCAATATCCACTGTTGTTTCCATATGGAGAGGATGGCTTTCGATTAAATAATCCTATTGGTTTTGATGACAGCACTACGAGAAAACGCAAGAATGTAACTATGCGTGAGTACTTTGCATTTCGGATTTTAGAGAGGAGGTGGGAAGCACCTACAATTACAAGATCAGGCAGATTGTTTCATCAGTTCCTTGTGGACGCCTACACAATGATAGAATCGAGTAGACTGCGTTACTTGTGGCTGAATCAGAAAAAGCTCCGATCTAGCAGTTACGATGCAATCCAGAAAGCAGCTCAAAGAGGTGGAGCTAAGATGGCTGAGCAAGGGAGCGGAATTTTCATTCCAGCAACTTTCACCTGAGGAAAAAGGTATATGAAGCAGCACTACTATGATGCCATGGCTATGTGCAAGTATCATGGATTTCCAGATCTTTTCATCACTTTTACGTGCAATCCAAAATGGCCTGAAGTTACAAGGTATCTCGAAATATATAACCTGACCACCGAAGACAGGCCTGAAATATTGTGTAGAGTTTTTAAGATGAAACTCGATAATCTTGTCGGCGAGTTGACAAAAAAAAAACAGCTCCTTATTTGGCCCTACTGCTGCAGGTAAATCTCCTTACATATGCCATCCTTATAAATATATTAATTATTTTTTTTCAAACAGATACTTTATATAGTTTTTTTGTTGATTAAAAATTGTCTGAAACTAATATTTTTTTATTTTCTTAGTAATGTACACGATTGAGTTTCAGAAAAGAGGAATGCCACACGCTCATATTCTTGTTTTCATGGAAAAAGGATCTAAATTTCCAACAGCCGATGATGTAGATAAGATTATTTTTGCTGAAATACCAGACAAGACAGTAGATCCAGACCTGTATGAAATCTTTGGGGATTGTATGATGCATGGTCCTTGCGGACCAGCAAAGAAGGATAATGTATGTATGGTTAACGGTAAATGTTGTAAGATGTTTCCAAAACATCTGAACATGAGGACGTCGATTGACGCAAATGGATTTCCAGCTTACATGCGTCGCATTGATGGTCGGTTCATTGAGAAAAATGGAATCAGACTAGAAAATGGATATGTTGTACCATACAACAGAGACCTCATGCTCCGATATCGCGCGCATATGAATGTTGAGTGGTGCGTCCAAACACGAGCTGTTAAGTATCTTTTCAAATATATTCATAAGGGGCCTGATTATGCTTCAGCTGCAATGGATATGGAAGATGAGGATGGCGTCATTGACGAAATTAAAACATATTACGACTGCAGGTATTTTTAGTGTTAAAAAATCGTTGTTTTTTTCGCCATTTTTATAATATATAAATTTCACTCTTTTTTAAAGTTAATAACTTCATAAATGAATATATAACATAATTAATAAACAGATTTTTAAATACCGATTTAGGCTTGAAAATAAATTTATTAAAATGGCTTAAATGATACTAATATGGCTTATGTATACCTTAATATATAGTCAAATTGCTTATAATATTGTTTACCTTTGAATAACCCGGAAACTAAATGTTTTACGCCATTATTATCTATTATATATTTTACTATATTTTTAATTTAATTCAAGAGTTCATGAATGAATAAATACATTATTTATACACAGAGTTTATTGTGTTTCGCATTTTAAGGTATACGTTCATTTTTACTAAATTTTTTTTTCGTATTTCTTAATTAGATATATTACGGCATGCGAGTCGTCTTGGAGGATTCTTGCTTTTCCTACACATTTCCGCACTACTTCAGTTGAGAAACTTGGATTTCATCTTCCGGATCAGGAGCTGGTGTTTTTTGATGAAGATGAACCTATTGAGAGTATTCTCAACAAAAAGACTGTCAACCAATCCATGTTTTTGGCCTG